GCCAATCTTACCTGCATTACTTCAGTACTAACGGATGTCCCGAAGGATTTGACCGGGGCAATGCCCCGCCGCTCCCCCAAAGGTAAAACGGCCTCAGCTTTTCCCTTAGCCCGTATCCGGCTTGACCTRAGTCTGGGTTCATTCCCACATTTGCACGCGCATCCCCTGTGCAGTGGCCAACGTACCTCCTCAGTACCTTTCCAGCCTTAACGGATGTCCCGAAGGACTCAGGCCTCACGGCAGTCTCGAGGTGGCATCCTCGACGTGAYCGAAGCCTGAGCAAAACCAGGCAATTCAAAGTACCGGGTCCCACCCATCCGGTATCGGGCGCGGCTTGTATTCCGACAGTTCATGGGCGTACCAACTGCGCTATGCCCATGGATCCAAGCTACAATCACGTATCGCGTCCCAGTACGGGATGCGGAAAGACGTAAAAATAAAAACAAAAATAACAATAAAAAGGTATACAAAAAAAAGAAAAACAACCCACTAACGGGGGGAAAGAGGGAGCTGTCGGCACTTCGTCAGCCCTGCAGATCGGACCCATCGCGGTGCCCGCCAGATAAAAACCAGAGAGGGATAGCCCCATCGGGCCCCCAACCCCTCGGTTTCCTCCTCGATGCTCTGCTGCCACCGCGTTGACGCTCACCGACCTCGATCCCCGAACCTTCGTCATGTCAGTCCAATGTCGTAACCTATAGGGATGAGCCCAAGCCTGAGACCCACGTCCGCAAAGTACCATACAAGACGGTGCGGCGCGGTGCTTTGGGCCAACAAACCGGCTGCGCGGCTCCCAGTGCCCGCGCCGGCTTACTTATACCATGCCATAATTGCCCCGCGCGCCATCCTACGACATCCCGCTTACCGCACGAAATCACGCCGTTATTGCCGATGTCGTCGTCGGGGTCGTTCTCTGCACGCGTGCTTGACTCGGTCAAATGTACCAATCAAACGAAAATATCCTTAATTCCTGCTTAATCAAAAATAAATAAATAATAATAATATCACCAAGCAAAAAACGACCGAGGTCCGGGCCGGCTTTACGATCAACAACAGAAAAGAATCACGCGCGCCTTGAACCTGCGCGCCCACGCACTCGCTATTGCGGTTAACCACCCAGTCAAAGCAATTACTGACGCAACCGTGCTTAGCGGAGTATACTTAAATTCTAAACCAGAACTATTTTCGGTCACTTGCAAAAACCAGGGCGGATACCCTTGTAAGGGTATTCGCACCGACAGCCTTACCGGACCATATTAAGCGACGTCCCCGTCGCTTCGCCAAATCTGAAGACTATACATCCATCCATACTCCAAATGTCGACGAAAGAAGTGAGCCAGTCCGATTAGTCGACAAACACAGGGTAGAGGCCTCCATCAAATCATGCCTCCACAACTATATGCTGCCAGGGTTTGAACCCAGGTCTCTCACTACCCAGAAATTAGGATGCTTACAACATAAGTTCGAAAGACCTTCCCAATCATCTTCTCCCCGGTCCTAGACAACCTTCGGCTTCTCGTTGGGTGTCCCTAGTCCTGGCAAAAACTAGGGACGCGGGCCTTAACCGAGACCTTTGAAGGCACTCTCGCCTTCCTTCTCAAAATCTCTCGCAATCAAATTCATATAAGTATATGTGTAAACTTAATATCCACTCCGCTTTTTCTGCAGTCTAGTACAGAAAGGCTAGGTCTCCATCTTGGCCCACCATAGCCTGGTTGATCGGATCAGGACTACGGCCCACCGCATTGTTATTTAACGGCAGTACCCTCGTTGGTTACGCAACGATAGGGTTTCTCCTGATAAGCACTCAATCAGGGTCTCCCAAAATCTTAACCTTCATTATCCCACAGAGTAATTTCCCTGGGGGGGGTAACTCCCCTTAAACTCTTACCCCGCGGTCCCGCAACCAGGTTGCGCTGGTTAGCAGTCATCCAATGGGGTTACGCCCTAGAGGTACTAACTTCTTTTCCGTTAGCTTGGCATTTTTTCAATATGCCCTAGAACTAGCACAGGTGGTTAGACGGGGCATCGCAAAACAAAATCACAGGCCCACTGCGCGATACGCAAGGGTCCGAAAGCATTTACCAGCCCTCCTTCAATAGGCATGGCATCGTTCGTACGCTTACAAGCAAAATCACCGCTAAATCCACCAGGTCGTGACCCCTGACTTGATCAGAGTCAGCAGCCACCCACCCTAGGACATCTCTCGCCCTGTACTCATTGCGATTTTCTCAAACATTTCAAACAAAAAGTGGCCCTTTCCGTCATACTTTTATCACCCATCAAACAATTTGTCATGCCATAAATCAATCTACTCACTTCTTAGGATGAGTCTTCCAACCAAAAACCACTCCCCTTTTTTAACAATCCAAAAGAGACTCTCTTCATAAACAAAACACCCCCTCTTTCAAAAATCGCGAGGGGTCTCGCCATAAAATAATACATTCCCTCTTCCAGAAATCACGAGGGTCTCATCATAAACCAAACACCCCCTCTCTCAAAGTCACGAGGGGTTTTGTTACATCACAAAACATCATAAAACATCCCCCCCTTTTCCAAAATCTAAGGGGGTCCCATCGTAAAACAGAACATCACTAAGAGACCATCTGATGGGTCCTCATCACAACTTAGATAACTTTCACAGACGGACTGCACTTCCTCCCCTTATACTCTGCCTTATCAGCTGCTGTGGGCAGGTCACACAAGTATACCGAGGAGTAGACAATTTTACTTACAATCATATTCACAATACCCAAGATACATAAAAGGTTTTTCACACATTGTCCACACAAACTCATCATACATTAGAGGACAACCACACATGTGAGAGAGACAAGTGATCGTCACATATAAGAATGGTCCCTTAAGGAAACCTCATCATAATATACACTCAGGGAGTACAATGTCTCACACAGAAAGTGTCTCCAAATCATAGCTTGCTCTACTCAAGCTACACCAAACCCACACTGACAACTACCCCTAGAATACATGTGAGATCTGTCTCTCAAAGGCCAGGGCGTAGGCCACCTAAATATGTACATGCCTCATCTAAACCACCCTGACCCTCAAAACCCCAACTCAGTAGAAACACTAGAGTTCGGATATAAATTAACAGCAATCATCAAAATGTCTTCGAAGTCTAAGAGGGTATCACACAGAACCTAAGTTGATGCCTCACAAAATGCTCGCTCACTTATATAGACAAAACCGAGCCCTACCTCCTCAACTCCTCCTGGTTTTGCCTATATAACTGAGCCCTAATTCCATTTGCGGACTTCTCTGCTATCCTACCCTGTCTATCATACATTTTACCCCCTACCTCTGAGATCTTCCCTGTTGCCTTATCCTCAAGAAACTCGAGACAGTCCAAAGTCAGATGCACGTCCCTTTTGCAGTAAAAACATAGTTGATCTACCTTTCTCTTGAACTTCTTCTTCCTGGGCTGAGGAGGTGGCGATGAAGGAGATCCCACCAAGGTACCGAAACCCCCCTGCTGCTCTGATCGAGGAGGTGTGGTACTAATGACTTTTTGCTGCTCTGTCCTCGGAACCGGTCCACCAGACCCAGATCTAGTAGCCCAAGATCCTAGTCTGCCTCTCAAATCCTCTGTCGCTGGGACGTAGTCGGGCGTGTCCAACCTCTGAGGCCTCCTCTCGAGTGTCACCTCTGGCACTGCCGTGGGCTGCTCCTCAATCTCCTCTGGTCCATACTCAGGTGTGCCTATCCTCTGGAGTCTGCCCTCGATGGCACCCTCCTCCTCAATCCTCATCTCTCTCTCAAGAGGCTCCTCTATCCTCTGCTCAGGTGAAAACAAACTCACCTCCTCCTGCATAGTAGGCACCGCCTCAAGGAGCACGCCCATGGATTCCTCTACCGAGCCCTGAGCCGGCTTACTGCTAGATGGTGGCAGGCCCTTCTCTACTGCCAAAGGTACGACTGGGCCCGCCGCTGCTACTGGTAGTGTCACGAGCTCGATAGGGGCTCTGAACTCGAACGCCTCTCTCTCCGTCTGTCTCTCTGCTCTCACCTCCTCTGACTCCAGGATAACCCTCCCCATAGGTGGCTGCTGGCAAGGCTCTGTCGCAGATGGCTGTCCTGGCAATCCCTGTCCTGGCTGCCTCTGCTCTCCATGCTGGCTGCTCTCTGGTCTGTCCACCTTTCCCTGGGTTTGTTGCCTCAGGCTCTCAATGATAGCTGCCAGGCTGGCCACCAAAGCCCTAAGTTCTTGAATTTCCATCTCCATAGCCTCCAGACATACTCCATGGCTGGCGTCCTTCATTTTCTTCCCCGGCAGATCGCCCTCCAATAGCAAGTGTCGGTCAAAAGTGGTCTTGGCCAGGAACTTGATTTTACGATCTAACCTTTCTTCCGCCTTCCTGGCCACCCCAAACCCGGCTCTGACTGCGATGGAAGCTCCTCTCCTCTCTGCTCCCACAAGTCCCTCCATATCTCAGGGATCTCTGGGGCCCTAGCTGGGGCGCTGGGTCGCTGACCCGGGAGTGCTCCTGCTGCCTCCGATCTCTGCCTCTCCTGCTGCTGCTCCGGGAGCTCCCCCGCTGCCTCCAACCTCTGCCTCTCCTGCCATATCTCATCTATCCGCCTGGTTCGTCTCGCCCTCTTTTCTTCAACCGTCTTTCCAACTGGCACCCTTTCCCTCGTGCGGAGGTCGACCCTCTTTGGGATCTCTGCTTCCATCTCATTCTCGGGCTGGCATGACTCCTGGCGCGGCTCTGCAGGTGCTGGCTCCTCCAGGTCTGGGTGCTCCAGGGCATGAGCTGTTAGGTGCCTATCAATTAAGATCAAAGCTTCTCTCCTTACAGCTGCCCTCTCTCTCCTCCTTTATGCTCTCCCTTCAGGCGAAGGAGCCTTTTCTGACGAAGGTAAAGGGGTCTCCTCTCTCTGCAACCCCTCCTTTGCCTGCCGGGTGCTCCCTGGTGCATCCCCGAGTCTCAAACCCACTGCTCGCGTCTGTGGAGGCGTGTCCTCTCCAACCTCTATCACTTCCTTCCCTGCACGTCTCCCCTCATCGCCCATCCCTCTCTCTTGCTGAGTGACCCGGACCTCTTCCTGTGGTACCTCCTCCCGTGGCATCTCCTCTCGTGGTATCTCCCCCTGTGGCACCTCCTCTCGTGACACCTCCTCTGCCTGCTCTCCATGCCCCTCACCCTGAAGCGACGTCCTCCACCGAGAAATATCTAAATGCATCTCCAATTCCCTCAAGGGCCCCTCTGACGCTGGTGGCTCCCCCTGTGTGTGTGTTGGCGATCTCCTCAATCCACCCTCGGTAAAATGATAAAACTCCACTGGTCCCAACCCACACTCAGGGTATGCCCCTCGCTCCTCATCCTCTCGCTCCTGCTCTCTCCTGGCTAGGGCCTTCCGTCCTCCTCGAGATGGTCTCGCCTCCCTGGGCTCAGGGTCCCTCGGTCTCTAACTCCTCTGCCGCCTCTCGACTCTGGGCTGAGGAAGCTCTGGCCGTCGAAAGGCCTCTCTCAAATGTGCCCTGCAGCTCTCCCAATCTCGTGTTATGTCCCTGATCTGCATAACCAGTGGCCTTTCCGCCTTCCTGGTCCAGAGTGGTAGTGTCTGCATCCAATCATCTCTCTGTATGCCCTGCTCTTGCATGAACCACTCAAACGCGGGGATAAAGTCCGACACATTTCCAATCTCCAGGCGGATCGGCCTGCCATCAGGTCCCACAGGCGAGGGTCGCAACTCCTCCATCCTCATCTCCACCTCCTGGCTTGTCGTCGCCTCCCTACGAATCCTGGCAATGGGTTCTTCGAACCTACCTGCTCCCCTCAATCTCTCAATCGCCTGAGCGACGGTTCAGCCCATACGCCTCGTATGCTCCCAGAAACTGTCCAGGAATAGCTCGATGTCCCCATCATTGTAGACTGGAGTACTCTCTTGATGGCAAGGCCCATGCCGCTCATATCCTCCTGATGCGCCCAACGGCCTCTGAGGCGGCCGTGTCCCCTTCCCTCCTCTTGGCATGGCTGTCTTCGTAAAGTCAGACCTGCACAACAGGCGAAGGAGACAACAGGCACACATTGGGGTAAGCAAGCAGGTGATAATCAGAGCAAGCTCAGACCAGACCACACTCATGCAGCATGCATCCTTCCTAATCTACACACCCTGTTACTTCTATTCTAAAGGTGGTCAGGTCATCTCTCTTACCTCTTCTCTCGCCACAAATTTCTTCAGTCGCGTTCCAGATACCCAATCCTTCCACTCAGTCTCATTTAACTCCTCGATCTGGTACGCTCCGAAGTCTCCGACCCATGCGATTCGGTAGGGACCTAACCATCTCTTATCGAGCTTCTTGGACCACTGCTTCTCCAGCGATGTATCGTAGAGAAGCACGACATCCCCGASTGCCAAGGGTACTTTCCTCACTCGCGCAGACTGATCCCATCGAGCCTTATTATCCATACGGCTTCTCGCCACCTGATCAGTTGCCTCCTGGATCCTTTCTTCTATCGCCCCAACTTGCCGCGCCCGAATATCGAGCAACTCTTCAAATGACAGGTTAACTTCTAGATCCTGGCGCCTCCATGTCTTAAGAAAGTTTTCGATAGGGAAGGTGGCATGCCTTCCGTACCACAGCGTCGCAGGTGCGTACTTGGTGGATCTCTTTACTGTAATGTTCTCGACAAAGAAAACCGCCCTTAGGTATCTTGGCCATTGATTAGGCCTACCTTCGGTCCATTTGGCCAGGAGATTCGTAATGGTACTATGTCCTCTCTCTACGGGAGCATTTCCCTGGGGGTGCGCGGCCGTGGTGTAGTTGGCTGCCACACCATACCTTGATAACAGTTCTTGCACCTCCTGGCAGGTAAACTCTGATCCCCTGTCCATTACGAATTCCCTGACGAAAGGATAACGCAGGTAGTACTCCTCGATGCAGCTCACTAGGACTGACCCGGTCTTTGTGCGAATAGCACGCCCGTCTACGAACCCAGACAGGTTATCGCGCGCATCGAAGATATAGTTATAGCCTTGATCCCCAAGTGGCATAAAAAGTAGATCGAGATGCACTACAGCCCCCACCTCTCGCTCTAGCCTGGGATGCAGCGACTCTCTTTGCCTTAAACGGGATCTTTCCTGACAAGGTACGCAAGATCGGCAGAACTTTTCGACCATATCCATCATCCCATCCCAGTAGTACAGCTCACTTATCTTGGCATACGTGGCTTGTACCCCTCGATGTCCTCCTGCAATACCATCGTGAAGCGCTGCTACGACGTCGATCTGACAATTCCTACCGCAGACGACTCTCCTGGGATTCCCCACTTCCGTTCTCACGAAAAGGTGACCGTCTCGCACTAAGTAGCGCTGCAACATCCTTTGAGCCCGCATTTCACATGACAGAAGAAGCCCCAGCTCTAGGTAGATCCCGTCATACTCTTCTGCACGAAAAACTTCCTTAATTTCCCCTTCTTCGAACTCGTCGTCCTGGCTCTCGGGTATTTCGTCCACATTCCCTGCCGGGTTCAACGAGCCTGACTGGTCTAGGCTTTCATGCAATAACGTATTGACGAGGAGATACATTCCTCCCATCAGGTCCTCATGCCGTTCTACCTGGCCAGGTCCTTCCTCAATCGTCCTCATATCCTCCACCAGGCTATGCGAGCTGGCCAGCGCTAATTCCATCATCCACTGAACATCCTTACCGCCCCAGGGATCCTCTTCTTTAAAGGGTTTGAGGACCAGTTCGGTCCTCCTTTCATATCCGTTCAGCGCTTGCCAAATAGGATAGCCTACACAGTTGGGTACTCGCGGCGACCACTTATTGATATGGAGACGAACATTTTCTTCCTGATCCAAAAATTCATCAACTGGGCGCGTATTCTCCACCGCCTCCCCTTTCTGCTTATCCCAGTTGATCCGACTCAGCCCGTCTGCCCGGTTCTTTACCAGGTATCCATTCTAATTCGAAATTGAACATCCAGATGTACGTCACCCATCTGGCAATCGTCGGATCCGATGGAACGTAATTCCTTAGAGAGTAGGCCTGGGCGTTCGGATCCACTCTCAAAATAAATCTCCTGCCAAAGACATAGTTCCGGAAGATTCACAGATAGTGGAGGACAGCAAGGGTCTCCCTCTTGCACTGAGAGTAGTTCCTCTCTGTCGTACTGAGAGTCCGACTCTCAAATCGCAAGGGCCTTTCCTTCCCTTCCATGTCTGCCTGTATTAGAACTCCCCCTGAGGTGGTCGGTCTCGCATCCGTTTCGACAATGAAGGGTCGCGTCTCTGTGGCGTCATAATCTAGCGCTCCTAACACCAACCCTCCTTCTCGGAATTCCTCTTTCATTTTTGCCACCACCTCTTCTTGTTCCTCACCCCATACCCATTCCTGATCCTGACGGACTAACTTCCTCAGGTGTTCAGTCTTAGCGGTAAAGTTCTTGACGAAGGCCCTCCAAAATCCACACGTACCAAGGAAGCTCCTGACATCAGTTATTGAGTGGAACGGAACTGGCCACTCAGTAATCTTGTCCATCTTCTTCACATCCGGCCTTCGGCCCTTCTCATTGCAGACTATCCCCAAGATAGTCGTTTCCCTCATGCAGTGTCTGGATTCGGCCCCGCTTGTTATGCTCTTCGAGTAGGCTCAGGACCTTTTCGAGGTCCTGAATGTGTTTCCAGACAAAGCGCATTACCTCTGGTGAGACTTCGTCGCTCTCTTTCATCGCCGGCCTCTGCACTGCCAAATCGTCAATGTATGGCTGTGTGATATGGGGGCTGACTGACTGCATGGCCCGAATCATGGTCCGTTGGACCATTGCTACTGCGTTGGTCCACCCTTGTGGGCCCTCGTTCATGTGGACTAATCCTCGCGGCGTGTGCATAGCTGTCACCGGCCTATCCGGCGGGTAGATTGGGAACTGATCGTATCCTGAGTAAAGGTCTATAAGCGAAATTATAGGCCTTCCAGCACAGGATTCCGACAGCGCGTCTGCATTTGGCAGTCCTCCCGCATCTCGCACGGTCACTGCATTCAATCTTTGCAAATCCTGCACCCACCGCAGCGTCCCGTTAGGCTTAATAAAGCAGAACCACGGCGACGCATACGGTCCACTTGAATAGTCGGCGACGTGAGTACGTATCTTGCCGTCGAGATAATCCACCACCTTCCTTTCCTCGTCAGGATTAGGATATCGCGCCTCTCTCATGTTCCAAGGCTCGTGTGGCACGGTGTGGATGCGGATCATAGGTATCTTATCTACATCCAGCCTGCCACGCTCCTCGTCACTAAACGCGTAGGCGCGATGCTTCCTTTTCATTAATTCCACCATCAACGTTCGCTCCTGAGGCAGCAGGAAATCAGACTCCCCTATGATCAACTCCTTCTCGTTGCCTTCGTTGATACGACATGGCCCTGCTAAAGCACTTTCCCTCATTTGTCGAATCTACCCTCGTTCCCTCTCATAATATGCTTTCTCGTCCTCTGTAACGAGGACGGGTACCGGGCGGCACTTCTTATCTACCGTCTTGTACCGCCTTTGAGAACCCTGCTTGAGCCCTCCCCTAAAAAAGGTCGACTCACGGATTGTGTTTGCGCTGATGTGGGGTTCCCTCTACTGCCTGGGAGCCGATATACCAGTTCCAACCTTCCTACCTCAGGGCATTCCAGAACTTGTTCCCTCAACGCCTGGATGGCATCCGGATCTGCCATCTCCTGCGCGGCCACTAGGTCCATGGCCTTCCCAACGTCTGACAGGCTGAGGGAAAATACTTTCACCCTCTCTCCTGCTTCGGGCTCTGCCCAGAGTCTCCTGCGCTCCCCTTCCGACTCCTCGATTGTGAATGATCCTGGATTGGGCCGGTTCCTTATACTCCTTAGCTCGGTATTCCTGCAAGTTATTATTTCATAATTTTCGCAGGCAGGATCGCATAAGAGGAGGATCAACGTCCCATCATGTTTGTTGAACATCACGGTCTCTGTCCTGCTTAGGAATGACCTCCCCAGGAGGATTCCATGGTCCACATCTAGCATTACGAAAAAACATGCCTTGGCCTTCACCTTTCCAACCTCGACGAGCACATTCGAGGCTGTCCCGCAAAACATGGGCTTACAACTGGCTCCATGCATAATACCGCAGTCAGAACGGTCTATATCCAGCCCGAATCTGATCGCGTCCGCCTCCCGAATAATGTTCATCTCTGCCCTGGTGTCCACCATTGCTGCGCACTTGGAACCCTTCACCATCAAATCCACCGTACCGCGGGCTACGCACTTCCAGTCCATCTTCGTACCTGACTCTTCCCACTCTGCCTCCTTGGGCAGGATCGTACCCAGATGGACATTGGGCAACAGGCGCCGTGATAACCTCCCCTTTAGTTCAGCGCGGAGTCGCGGGGCTGACGCTAGGATTTCCTTCAGGGTTATGAGGTCATTATGCCCTTCCAGCAGCCGGTCAATCACCTTCTCTACATCAAATCCCTCTTCCAACCGAACCGCGTATTTCTTCTTTTTGGGCGGTCCGTCATGTATGACCGGTTCGGCCTCTCCCCTGGTCCCCTTTTTCCTTGCCCGCTTCTCCGCTCTCTGATCCTCTTCTCTGCGCAATCTCTCGTCCTCTTCCTCTTCATCATCGTCGTCCTCTACTTTCACAGCATCTTTCCTTCTCCCTGGTTCGTGTTCCCCCCTTGGAGGCTCTTGGCGGGTACTGGCCTTGGCTTGATTTCTCGTTCGCGCTGCCTGTGCCAGCCGGGTCTGCGGAGTGAGGGGTCTCTCCCTCATTCCTGGTTGAGGGCACGACCCCACCACATTTACTCCGGGTTGCCCAGGCACTGACTTCGGGCGGGAGTCATAGAGGAATACTGTGGGGATATTAGACTTCCATTCTTTCACTCCTTCACAGAGGCCTACCAACTCCTGTTGGTACCTCCCCATCTTATCCAGCAAGTTCTCCATCTTCTCAAATAAGACGGACAGAGGCTCCGTTCTTTCCTCCTCATCCTCGTCATCTGACTCAATAATTATGACCTATTCCGTCTCACTTCCTCCTCGCAGCCCTTGAGTCACTTCCTCATCGCTCCCCACTTCTTCCATCCCAAACGGTGGTTTCTCCTTTTCCTGCCATAGCCTGAACATGGCAGGGGGTGGTGGCCCAGCTGCCGCTCTTCGTTGGGCTTCAGCCCTCACTCTTCCAAGCCTTCTGTCAATGGCCTCCCCAAACTGATCATAGATATTCTCATCCATAGTAGAGAAAATCAGTCCTCTTCTTTCGTCTTCCCGTCTTATATTACAGAACCTTATAGTGTGGCCCTGCTGGTCACAATGTTGACAGATGGCCGTCCTCCAGTCAAAGCGGGTTCTTCCACACCCCTGACTTCCCTGATCCCCCCGGCCTTGATAGCCCTGGCCTTGGTACCCCTGGCCTTGACTCCCTTGGCCTTGACTCCCTTGGCCTTGGTACCCCTGGCCTTGGTACCCCTGGCCTTGACTCCCTTGGCCTTGGTACCCCTGGCCTTGACTCCCTTGGCCTTGGTACCCCTGGCCTTGACTCCCTTGGCCTTGGTACCCCTGGCCTTAACTCCCTTGGCCTTGGTACCCCTGGCCTTGGCCATTCCATTGCCTTCCTCTTCCGCCGCCATTCCTGCCTCGCCCCTTTCCTCCACCCCTCCCTTCACTGCCTTGATTGCCCTGCCCCTGGTTCCCACCTCCTACAACACTGCCTTGTGAACTGGGATCAGGTGACGGTGGCGGGGCCACAGGTTGGGCCTGGGCCACGGGGTAGATGGGTGGTGGCATACTCGATTGCGGTCCGGCTACTTGCAGCGTACTTCCCCATGGCACAATTGCGTTGATCACCGGCCAAGGCCACTGTCCATAGGAGGGCGCCCCACCTTGCGAGGGGCCCGTAGTAGATGATGGAACCGCCATATTTAAAGGGGCTGCTGACTGGGCCTGATGCGCCTGCGCTTTTCCTGATCCCTGTCCGCCCTGCGCCAAATTACGCACTTTGCGCTGGACCTTCGTCAGGTGCTGCGGCACGGGTTCTTCCTCTTCCCAGTGCTCCTCCTGACCAGCCTCCTCTATCACTGACTCTTTTCTCTTTACTTTAACAACCGTCACCACCCTCCTTTGCACCACCGGCTCTGTCGCATACCCTGGCTGTGCCAATACGTCTGTAACAATCCTTGTTACTCCTGGGGTCCCAGAAGCGGTCGCATCTCTTTCCTTTCTCTTCTGTCTTTGCAGGCGTACCTGACGTTGTTCCACCTGGTCCAAGCACCCAACTTCCACCCCTATGTCAATGGTGGCCCAGGTGAGCTTAGTGCTACCTCCTCCATGTCTTGTCAATTCGACGGCCTCCGATGCTGTGAGTAGCCCTAGGAAGATGGCGCACTTTGCTTCCTCTGAAATCCCATGGACCTTCCGCGCCCTCTTCTTAAATTCTTGAACAAAGGCCCCTATGGTCGTAAAATCCTCTTTGTTCATCGCTTCAAGGTCCGTGGTAGTTAACAACCCGTCTCCCAGACGGTATTTCCTCTGCGTCCCCTCCTTGAACCTCTCCCAGCTACCTTGAGCCGCATCTATGACTTTCTTCACCTCCTGATGGTAGCTGTGGAGGACATACTGAAGGATGCGTTGAAACTTAACAACATCCCGCCGCCCGACTAAAGCTTGTTCCACCCGCTCTAGCCATTCTGAGACTCTCTCCCCACAGAAATGGAAAGTATCGACCTTTGGGATGTTGCTCGGATTCCTTGAATGTCGGTCGATGGCCGCGATGAGGTCATCGAGTGTCGGGCCCTTCTTGGGAACAACTGATGCGCCGCCAGTCTCAGGTATCTTGACAGCCTCTTCTTTTTAAGTTCCCTGGAAAAAGAAAACAAGCACATCCCCTTTATTCAACACTATACCTTGACCGGTCTATTCCATCCGTCCTTCCTAACCCTTAATACTTACTTTACCCAATGTTAACACGATCGTCCCTCATACTTCCTCTACTTGGGTAGGTAAATTTCCTCACCTACACTTAGTCATTCATATATTCCTTCATTACCTTCTCATCACCCATTTATGCCTTTTCTTATTCACTTCTCATACCCGGATGTCGTTCCACCAGGGACAACGGTAGG